TTTTGTCTCCTGGTAGATGCATTCCTCTTTTATGAAAGACCTCAAAACTGCAGAGCTGAAAGTTGTGGAAACGAGGAGCAAATATTGTTAAAGTTGTTTTTAGAAGTAATAGCAGTTGTAGCATTATTTGTTGAAAATCCCATGTGTTCTCATTAAATTCTTTGAATCTTTGATATTGGTGTATATATGTGGATCTATTTCCTGTCTATTTTTTTATTAATCTGATTATTTTTACACTACTCTCAAACTTTCTTGATTATTGCAGCTCTAAAGTAAATCTTGAAATCAAATATTTTGAATTTTCAAAAATTGTTCTTCCTTTTGGCTGTTCCAGTTCCTTTGTATTTCCTCATAAAATGTTAGACACTCTTATCCAACTTCTAAAAAAAATCCTGCTGAAATTTTGATTGAGTCAAATCTATGAATCTGATATGAAAAAAACGTCATTTAAACAATATTAGATCTTCCGATCTATGAATTATGTTTAGTTCTCTGTTTATTATGATCTTCTTTCAATTCTCATTGCAATATTTTGTAATTTTAAATGCATAGTGCTTGAATATATTTTATGAATTCATCTCTAAGTATTTATTGATGTATAATGCTAGTGTAAATTTTGTTTCCCAACTTTAATTGCTAGTACATAGAAATAAATTTTATGTTTATATTAAAGCTTTAATATAATGGCCTTGTTTCCTATGATATTGCTCAAAATATATATTTTAAGAGCATTATTTTGAAGACTTTTTGGATTTATTGCATATAAAATTATGTTTTTTGTGAAAAAAAAATTTGATTTTCAAATAGCAAAATAGCTGCATTCCTAAGATTAAACTCTTAGTCATCTTGTAGAACCATTTTTTATTAATTGCTGTATTCCATTAGGTAATGTTTTGCTAAGAATTTTTTTTGGTCTATGTTCATTACTGATTGTAATGTGGAGATTTCTCTTTTTGTACTGCCTTGTTTGGTTTATTATAAGTGTAATTCTATTCATATAATGATTTTGGAAGTGTTCCGTCCTCTATTTTTTTGGCAGAGTAGAATTGTTTTTCTTTCTTTCTTAAATTGTTAATAGAAGATATCAGGAAAGTTTTCTGTTTCTGGAGTTTTTCTCAAGGGAAAGTTTTAAAATTACAAGTTCACCATTCTCTTCCAGTGGTTTATGTGTCTCTTTTTAGGCCAATGCCATGCTGTTTTAGTTACTATGGCTTTTAATGTATTTTGAAGTTAGGTAGTGTGATGCCTCCAGGTTTGTTTTTTGTTTGTTTGTTTGTTTTTTGTTTTTGCTGAAAATAGTTTCTCTATTTGGACTCTTTTGTGGTCCCATATAAATTTTAGATTTTTTTTTCTATTTCTGGGAAAAATGCCATTGGAATTTTGATAGGGATTACGTTGAATCTGTAGATTGTTTTGGGCAGTATAAACATTTTAACAATATTAATTCTTCCAATCTATGAACACATAATATCTTTTCATTTATTGTGTCTTCAGTTGCTTTTATCAATGTTTTATACTTTTTGGTGTACAGATTTTTCACTTACTTGGTTAAATGTATTCCTAAGTATTTTATTATTTTTGATGCAGTTGTGGGTGGGATCATTTTCTTCATTTCTTTTTTGAATGGTTCATTATTACTGTATAAAAATGCAACTGATTTTTGATTTTGTATCCTAAAATTTATTGAATTCATTTATTTGTTCTAACAGTTTTTGATGGTCTTTAGGGTTTACTGTATGTAAGAAAGATCATGTTGTCTGTAAACAGAAACAATTTGACTTTCTCATGTCCTGTTCCTATTGTCCTTTTATTTATTTTTCATGACTAATTGTTTTGAGTAAGACTTTTAGTACTATGTTGAATAAGAGTGGTGAAAGTGGGCATCATTGTCTTGTTCCTGTTCATAGAGGAAAACCTTTTAGTATTTCACTATTGGGTATGATGTTAATTATGAGCTTGTCATATATGGCCTTTATTATGTTGGGGTACATTTCTTCTACACCTAGTTTGTTGAGAGTATTTAGGCATGAAATGATGTTGAATTTTGTCAATTTTTTTTTCCCTGCATCTATTGAGATGCTCATATGAGTATTTTTATACTTCATTCTGCTAGTGGGGTTTGTAACATTTATTTACAGCATGCATAAGACCATTTTTGCATCCAAGGGATAAATCCCAGTTGACCATGGTGTATGATCTTTTTAATGTACTATTGAATTCAGATTCCTAGTATTATGTTGAAGATTTCTGCATCTGCGTTCATCAGGGTTATTGGCCTATAATTTTCTTGTAGTGTTCTTAACTGTCTTTGGCATGAGGGGAATGCTGGCCTTGTAAAATGAGTTTGGAAATGTTCCCTCCTTTTCAATTTTTAAAAAGTTAGAGAATGATTGGTGTTAACAATTCCTTAAATATTTGGTAGAAAATGTTCTATGTGCACTAGAAAAAGATAGTTCCATTTGGGGATATATGTTCTTTAGCAAGTAATTTAAGTTAGTTGCTAGTGTTAAGTCTTCTATATTTGGATGGTTTTCTAACTTCTATCAATAACTGAAAGAAGTGTGTTAAAATTTTGACTGCATTAATGGGTATTGGAAAATGCTACAAACCTGGGCATTAATTTTTCTGGACAGTTTGTTGTAAACTTTTACAAGCATAATAATGGAGCAATGCAGTTTATAATTATTGCCATATTATTCCCTTTTTCTATTTCTATCACTGCCTTCTTGCTGTTCTTGCTATTAGGTTCTCTGACTATCACATTTAGCACCCAGGCACCTCATTCCCAGGGAGGGAGAACAATGCTCAGAAAGGGTACTTGCATTTTGTCCTGTGACTAGAGAAAACCTTGGGAACTTCCAGGCCTTAATTAGACCATACCAAAGTGTCCATAGGCAAGGAATGCCACCCCATCGGCTACCAAAGAGATTCACCATCTCGCAAGAAGAGATAGGAGCAATAATAGCCTGGGCACAAGACTGTAAGACATTTGTCAGTCTGGATATTTTGTAACATCATAGCTTTCTTTTAGGTTAACTCTGTCAACTTCTTCAGGGATTAGTATTTTATGATTTATTCCAAAAATAATTTCAATATTACCACTTATGGAAGAAGAGGAGCTGACTTTTGTTCAGCAGTCCTTCACACAAGGTAAACCATCATTTCAACTGAATGATCCAAAGAATCCAGGATTGGGTAGTTGCTACTCTAACATATTCTTTACATGAGAGGGAAGTTCTACTGCTAGTTTCACCCTCCTGGTCCTGTTAATGCAGTATGTAGAGCTAGGGCTGGGTCTGGTGCTCAAAGACCCCTCGAGTCCATTCACAAACCCTTCACACACAGGTCTGCGAGCTAGGTAACCAGCAAAAAGGTCCTTGGAGCCTTGGCTGAAGTTGTAGTCTTTATTCAGCACACACGTCTAATACCTAGGCAGTCCAAAGAGAAACTCAGAAACTCAACTGCTACCGGCAAAGTCCACTGAAAAACTGAGCAGCTACCAGCAGAGTAAACATGCTCTATTTTTCCACACGAGCTCTACCAGCCAGCTTCTGCTTCACAAACTGAAGAACACACAATAGCAACAAAACTAAAAAAATACATTGATGTGCATACACACTAACTCCACCCACACACAACTTGTTTACAAGAAATGTGCTGCATGACCCCCAACCGGATGGGGTGGGCAGGGGCTGGCTAAACTATTCTATTTTCCCTACACAGTAAAATCTTAAGAGCCAACCTAGCAAAAAGATTAATGTTCTCTTGAAAGGAATTGCATCACACCTGCATTTTTTCATTCACTACACAATCTGAAGTTCTTTGGGACTTTATCCCACGGACCTTTTCATTTCTTTTTTTCTCTGATGGCCAGGGTCTTCAACATTCAACTAAGTCCAATCTTCAATAGAGAGCCACTGAGATGCTCTCTCAGACACAGGAAGCAGGGACCATGACTCTCACAGCCTCTGAGGAGAAGCAGCTGGGCCCTGAGGAGCTGAAGGGTTTTGGTTCCAGTCTGT